ACGAAGTTATTACGTCTCTCCACTAGACGTGTGGCTGCTGCGTGTCCGTTGATTGACGCGTAATGGCCGTTCGACACAATGCGCGTGGTAATGGCCGACGGGGAAGTCACCACGCTAGTCGTGGCACCAACGTTTGCTTCTTCGGTGGACGGTGGCGCTCGGTGGCGAGCGCGCGAGGCTGCGGAGCAGCGACCGGGGGCAAGGGCACCACAAGATCATGGATATGGACTAACGTCATTGTCGACTTTTTTGGCAACATCGTCTACCTTGTGCATACACATTCATTAGAAATAATATAAATAATATAAATATTATAATATTTATATTATTTATAATATAAATATTATAAATATTTATATTATAAATAATATAAATATTTCTAACAGCAAATATTTTATCAAGATTATCGGCAAATGTAACAGTAAAAATTGTGGCAACATTTTCAAAGGTATTGTTGATACAGAACCGTTGACTAATATTAGCGAAATCTGTATATGTGTGAAAACCTGAGATTAGAGATATTAGAAGCCAAAGTCATGAAATTCTGCAGCATCCTTTAAATGGAGGAAAGCGGAAAGAGATAAACAAAACAGCAATTACAGAAGGATGTTCAAATTTACGAAAAAGAAAAGTAAGAGAAGATGCGTCTTGGAGATGCAGATACACCAATAATACCTTCATTGGATATACTCCGACATGCTAAAAAAAGAAGCAACAGATGAAGATTTAGGTTGCAAAAAAGTAAAAGGTGAAGATATAATACAGACAATTTATCGTCTGTATTATATCTTCACCTTTTACTTTTTTAAATATTAAAAAAGTCTCTTAAAAGTATCTATTAAATATTTTCTAAATTTTGAAAATCCTTATAAAGGTGCTATTGCTCTGAGGTGTTACTTGCCATTCAAAATGTGTTATGGCACTAGTGAACAAATTAATGTTTATGAACAATACCACAATATGCATAAAAATAATGTTTCTTCTACTAGCATTGATGCAACTGGCAATATTGTTAGAAAATTAAAAAGACCACTAGAATCAAAATCAGCCCATATTTTTTTATACGTGATTGCCATACATTTTGACAATACGTCTTCATCGATATATCAATTATTAACAGAATCATAAGAAACCGAGACAATTGAACATTGGCTGAAATTGTGGTTACATATGGTTAAATTTCGTAAGCCAATCCAAGTGGTTGTTGATTATTCTAGAGCAATGCTATTGGCTGTTCAAAAACTTTTAATGATATTATCATAAAAAAATATATTGAAATTTATTTCAATGCTGTTTCCGTGGGAGAATATGTTTCACGAGAATGAATATCAACATATGTAAGAATTGATATTGCACATCTAATCCTTACATATGTTGATATCCATTTTCGTGAAATGGTTTGTCAATGGTCTGTTTTAAAAAATCATCCTTTGCGCGTGATTTCTATATTCGATGCAATGCTTTAATAAATAAATTGCCAAAGTTATCAGGATTTTGTCGAAATATTTTCACTTACGTATATTGTTGCCCTTCAATATTATCAGGATTCCGTCGTAA